TTTAACAATGCACGAACTACCTGCTTTGATTTGCTTTTACTCACCATGTGCCCTGGAAAACACTGTCTACCGAGGGCCTGCTTCCGTAGGAAATTATCCAGAAGCGTCAAATGGAAAACCAGCATACTGTAAATGTAAATGTGCTATAAATTCTACGAAATTTCTCAAGTACTAGGCACATTAACTTCACCATTGATAGGGCTTTCTAACTTTCCACTCACAAAACGTTCAGCGAATGAAACAAAGAAATAGCTGTCTCTTTGAAACAGTGAATGAAACGGGTTTTTTTATGAATGACGTATCCATGATCAGTGACACCGCGATGGAACTTTGCAGTATATTTCCCGGATGTTTGGTACCACAAAAGATTGCGTACATGAGCTACCTATCATAAAGTTGGAAAGCAGTGACATTTTTTCTACTCTGAACTGAGCTCGGCGGTTATATAGACATTTCACATTATTACTCAGCTTCCCTGTAGTCAGTTGCGTCTCCAGGAAACTTTGCTGTTACCATGGGCATAGGATTGATTTCCCAATATTTCTATGTGACACCTTTCACATTCTTTCCACTTCAATATTTACTAGCTTTTTCTCATATTTCCACACTTGTTTTATTCAATATGGTCTAACATTTGGCATATCGTGTCCCCTTCAAACATGTTACCCGACTTTGCCTTATCCATTTATCCTGATCCAATAAGTTGTAGTCCACTGAACACTGTGCACACACATTCATTCACTAACAGCTTAGGCGAATAAAGCGCTGTATGGCTGACGACAGATGGGTATACGCAATATGTGCCCTAGCCAGCGAAGCCTACCAGTCTGAATTCGATGAGCTAGCAGGCTTATCCCTAATAAACATCCAAACAAATCACGGCTTACCTACGGAATACTCGTTCGGGCTTGGGCTAAACTACGTAGACACCGATATCCGAATGACATCTACGATTCAATAGAATAGGAATCGCTAACTAGGGTACCTTTGGTGAACGTCGCTGCTAGTGATGAACCGCCTACTTAGTTCGTTGTAGTCCCGCACTCGATCAGAGGTGAGTATACCGACCTCAGTAAGTTAGCATACTTCCTGTGCATCAATTGCAAAACGTATCATGACAACCAAAAAAATAATTGATCCCGCTTGCTATTTCAAACCGTTGTTAAGTAATGCAATATAATGCAAAACTGTTGGCAATAAGTGACGCGTTGCTAATCAGATTACATAATTTCATTCGGTACCCTCAGAAGTTGTTGATTCAATCAGTTCACTTGCCGTGGAGTTGATCTTGTTTCTACTTCTAATATCCCTAGTCTATCTATACATGGCCGTTCACTAGGATTTACAAATCCAATGTGCTATAAATGTGCTTGTTCGTTTTACGTCATCCTTGAGAAGATTAAACGAAATGTTAACACCCCGCGAAATGTCTTCTCTCGGTCTGGACATTCTAAGTACATTAAGTACCGTAAAAGACATCGGTACAGAGTTCAGATTGACGATGTCCAGGAAGGGACGTATAGGAACTTGATTACTTGTAGAGCTGGAAAGCGTAGAATAAAGCGTCTGGATAGAAGAACTGTGGTGGTAATACGAGGATAAGGAGATGGACGACTGGGATCACTTGAGACAAGATGTAGTGGTTGTAGTAGTAGTAGTACGCCATGAACGCGAAACACGAATCACGGAGTACAAATCACTGATTCACAGTCACGGACGTCACGTAAGTGTCGGATCACATTGGCACTAGCACACGATATCACACGTTACCGAGACGCAAGGGAAACGCCCTAGGAGTAGTAGTTCGTTCACTGAAAGAAATAAAGAGGATTAAGTAATAATAACAAAACAAACCCATGGGTCATCCGGGCATCTGTCAATCGCGTTCTAGTATTTCTGCCGTTTTTCAGCTTCTGTCTGGGCTGCAAGGTTTTTGTTTAGTTGATACAATCGACCTATGGTTTGTCGCCCCGAAGCTGTGGCACGCACGTGCTTTGCTGACGTCACCCGCGAAGCTTGATTGATAACGGTTGTCTAAAACGTGTGACGTGTCGCTCCAGGGTATGGGCCATCTCGTAGGCTGGGATCATCACAAAAGGTCAGGGTCCGAATGCATTTGTTTAAATTTTGCTTCNTTTTGCTTCGTAATAGATATCAGTCCTTAATTTTAATTGTGATTAATTGTGATTGAGATTACGAATGCTACGCGCACTCCATATTTACTGCATGCTTAATTTTCTCTACCTACCAGAAATCATATTTTTCTCTGTCCTTCCCTGGCTGATTAATACATTCGATCCACAATACCATTAGCAACGATCTGTGGTTTCTCTGTTCTCTACTCAGCTTCATCGCATAGGATGTTATTATATTGTATTATTTATCAACCCGTTGCATCTTCTCACATACTGGTTACATCTGTGTGATCATTTCTAGTTTAGTGAATGAAACAGGTGGTGATAAGAATGACATAAAGTTATCCATGGTCCCACAAGCGATGACAACTCTGCGCTGGCTGCTCCATGGGGTATTACGTAGAGGTCGGTAAAATGTTCTACCCACGGTGGAATTTATAGCACATTTACATTTACAGTATGCTGGTTTTCCATTTGACGCTTCTGGATAATTTCCTACGGAAGCAGGCCCTCGGTAGACAGTGTTTTCCAGGGCACATGGTGAG